GGCGGGCGGGTGTTGGGTGGAAGGGGAGGCAGAAACCAGAGGGGAGTCCGGCAGGCGGCCCTTCCTCCTCAGTGGGGCTGAAATGAATGGGCGTTGTGGGGTTCAGAGAATCATAAAATGGTTTGGGTTGGAAGGGACCTTTAAAGGTCATCTAGACCAACCCCCCTGCAATGGGCAGGGGACATCTTCAACTAGATTACGTTGCTCAGAGCCCTGTCCAACTTGATCTTGAATGTTTCCAGGGATGGGTCATCTACCACCTCTCTGGGCAACCTGTGCCAGTGTTTCATCACCCTCATCATAAAAAATTGCTTCCTTATATCTAGTCTAAGTCTACCCTCTTTTTGTTTAAAGCCATTACCTCTTGTCCTATTGCAACAGGCCCTGCTAAAATGTTTGGTTCCATCTTTCTTATAAGCCCCTTTTACATACTGGAAGGCCACTATAAGGTCTTCGTGGAGTCTTCTCCAGGCTGACCACCACCAACTCTCTCAGCCTGTCCTCACAGGAGAGGTGCTCCAGCCCTCAGATCATTTTTATGACCCTCCTCTGGACTCGCTCCAACAGGTCCATGTCCTTCTTACGCTGGGGACTCCAGAGCTGGACGCAGTACTCCAGGTGGGGTCTCATCAGAGTGCAGTAGAGGGGCAGAACCACCTCCCTCGCCCTGCTGGCCTGCGAGCCTTTGATGCGGCCCAGGATATGTTTGGCTTTCTGGGCTGCGAGTGCACATTGCTGGTTCATGTCCAGCTTTTCATCCACCAGCTTTAACTCCGCATCCTCTGCAGAAATCTTGCCGGTGCCTGGGATTCCAGTCACTCAGGGCCTGGAAGGACCCTGTGCCAAGGCAGCTGTGGATTTTTGCTGCCCAGACTTTGGCAGTGAGGAGCACCCTCTGCTTTCAGCACCTTGCACCCCACAGAAAAAGGCTGCCCTGGGGGGGGTGCAGCACCAGCAAAACAGTTTACACCGAGCCTGGATTTCTAGTGCCAAAAAGGAAGGGGCTAAGAGAGCTGGGAGAAGCCCTTCCTCACGCACCCCAGCCAGACCACAGTGGTCCATCTGGCCAGCCCCACGCGTGGGCACCTCAACCCGGCCTCCATCTCCCCGGCTGATCCGACTCGGGCACACCATTGCTGCTCCACTCCTCTCCTCTCTCCCTCTCCCCCCCCCCAGTCCTGTGTTTACTCTCTGCTTTTCTGCTTTCTGTCTAGAAACACCACCGCAGACGCAGGCGAAGCTGGGAGAAGACTGTTGTTTAAAAGCAGCGCGCTGAAGGATGCTTGCGTTGTCGAAACCTTTCCTGGCATCTGTAAAATCTGAGAGGACAAGGCGGCACAATGGGCGGAGAAAAGGAGGACTTAGAGATAACCCAAGGAGGCCTGAGACTTTTTGTTGGCCACAGGGCCCGTAAATTATCTTGGCAGCCCCGTTTTAGTGTTGGAGGAGCGCGGGACTCCCGTCCATCACAGGATCTGGAGGAGAGGCGGTAACAAAGGAACTGCTGTGCAGAAGGGAAATGATGGGAACCTCGCTGAACCCTCGCCCAGCAGGCTTTAGGAGATGTAACATCACTTTAATGTGCCATTATATCTACATTTAGAAAAAGGGTCATCGCATAGATTGGGCTGCACTGCTAAACAATTCTGTCAGATAATTGTTCTCAAACCCACCTCCTGCTGAGGGTCTCGGTAACTTCCATATCACGCTGCTACTGTGCTGTGCCTGAATCTGAAGTAAGCTCACAAAGAAAAGGGGGGAAAGGAAGATGCGACATAGCCAGGAGCGATGATCCAGACAGTTAGAGCATGGACGAGTGAAATGCTTGAAATAAGCAGGAGTGCTTTAGTACATCGGAAAATAATTCCATATCCAGGAGTACCACTTTGAGTCATGTAAAGAGCCCTATGCCTTCTCAGCAGAGACAAATTCCTAAATTCAGTTGAGTTGGGACCATGCCTTTAAAAACCCAGAAATACTCATTATTTTTTCAAACTGTTTAATGACAGGAGAGAGAACAAACAAAAGGAGATGAAAACCAACTGTAGTGTGGAGTGGGAATGGAGAGTAGAAACAAGCACAATATTTAACTCTGCTGGATTTGTTTCTTTGTTTTACAGTTAGGGTTTTTGATTTGCATTGGCGAAAGGTATGGATGTTATATTACTGCTTCCATTAATCACTTGGCCAGAAGTGCTGGGAGCATCCTGGAACCCCACCATACCAGGCAATGGATCAGCACAGGACAGAAATGGGATGCTCACCGT